GACGTCGTGGATTAGGGGTTCAGGGTACTGTTAGGAGCTGATTGGTCAGAGGTGAGGTAAGGGTAATACATAATTTATTCAGGTGTTAAGAGCAACTCCAAGATCAGCTTCTGTGTCCAAAACCAATTTCAAGGAGAGCTTGCTAAAGGGGCCATTCCATGTTAGTGCTAAGGAGCTGAAACATAACTTAGATCAAGATGTTATCTTTAGCACCGCAGGTGGGATTCAGTGGTTGAGGGTCAACAGATGAACCAGGAGGTCACAGTTCTATTCCCAGTCAAGGCATACTGGTATGTCCAGGTTGCGGGCTTGGTTCCCAGTAGGGGGCGTGCAGGAGGCAGCCGATCAATGATTCATTGATGTTTCTATCTCTCTCTCCCTCCCTCTGTCATAAATCAATAAAAGCATTTTTAAAAAGATGTCATCTTTAGCCTGCCAAGGGCTAATACCTGTGACCATTAGTCAGAATGGGGCTATCTGCTGCCACAGGGGTCAGAGAGGGTGAGTTACTAAGGTCAGATCAGTGAAGTGTGCTGAGAGAGAAAGAAAAAAAAAATTATAGTTTCAAAACTACAGTTTAAATAAACTCAGAATTATGAGGACCCTCGGTTTCCCTGGTAGCATGAGAAATAATTTCCTTTAGCTATCTGCTTATACCATGGGTCAAATAAAAACAAATCTGGATTTTTTAGAAGAAAAGAAGCTTTATTTAAAAGATTAATTGGGGGAGCCTTGGGGAGGGAGACTATTGTAATAGGGAAAGCTCCTGCCAGCACTTAAAGGTTAGGCAGGAAAGGGCTTTTCTTTTATAGGGAGGAGTAAACAAGGCTAGAGAAAACCTGTGTGGGCAAGCCAGAGGATCACACAGATCAGAGAATGTTTTACCTTGACCTCACTGCTATGGGAGGGGCCTTTTGGTGGGGGCGGGGGGATGTGGAATGCTGCCTCAGGCTAAGGGTGGGTCAAAGTTTAGAGGTTTGGAGGAAGCAGAGAGACTTAACCAGGGTTAGGTTAACAAGAATTTGTTCTGATTGATCTGTGAGGACAAAAAATTCAACTAATCACTTCTGAAGTAAAGAATGGGGATTTGCAGGATCTGTGCCTGGCTTCGTCCTGGGTAAACAAAGGGGCCTCCAGGAGTCTTTATGAGCCTGATACAAGCCAGGGAGGGAAAGGCTCTTCTTCACAGTAACACTTTCCTGGAACATAAGGCGGGTGGGGGGAGATACTTCTTAACCCTTGCTATTTTTTGAGGAGCACAGGAATTAGTAAAAGTCAATATTGTCGAGTATAAAAGGGAGTATTGTGTGAACATGTATTTTATATTTCCAGGAAGGTAATTAGAGTTTTACTCTATTAGAGGTCTTCAAATATTATGCTTTTTATGGCAGGTATTAAACTAGCAGTTCTCAACCTGTGGGTCGCGACCCCTTTGGGGGTCGAATGACCCTTCCACAGGGGTCGCCTAAGACCATCGGAAAACACATATATAATTACATATTGTTTTTGTGATTAATCACTATGCTTTAATTATGTTCAATTTGTAACAATGAAAATACATCCTGCATATCAGATATTTACATTACGATTCATAACAGTAGCAAAATTACAGTTAGGAACTAGCAATGAAAATAATTTTATGGTTGGGGGTCACCACAGCATGAGGAACTGTATTAAAGGGTCGCGGCATTAGGAAGGTTGAGAACCACTGTATTAAGCCACAGAGCAATAATGATAGAATAAAATATAGACCCCCATGCCCATCCTAATCTAAAACAGAGCCGTACATTATTATTTCTTTTTTTAATTATGTTAGGACCCTAGCCAGTTTTGCTTAGTGGATAGAACCTGACTGAAGGGTTCCAGGTTCAATTCCGGTCAAGGGCACATGGCTGGGTTGTGGGCTCGATCCCCAGTAGCGGGTGTGCAGGAGGCAGCCAATCAATGATTCTCTCTCATCATTGATGTTTCTATTTCTCTCTCACCTTCTCCTTTCCTCTCTGAAATCAATAAAAATATATTTTATAAAAATTATGTTAGGTACATCTCCAAAAACAGTTTTTCTATAAATACAATGTGAGGGGGAGAGAAGGTGACTAAAAGATTGTAGAAGAGAATCACTCAGAGCACTATTAGCACGAGTTTGTATTTGAAAATGCCAGGCTTGGGAAGTCTCCCAAGGCCCTTGGGGAAGCAGGGCAGAATGTTTTATGGGACTTTAGCAGGAGAAGATTGGCTGAAGTTGAACTAGTTTTGAGAATTTATGGATTAGCAACCACTGGGTAGTCTGGGAAATCAATGTGGTGCAGGGGAGCAGGTAGAGGTCAAGGTCATGTGCAAGTAGGGTCTAGATTAGAATACGTGTGGGCCACAGTGGAAAATTTTTTATTTTTTAGGAACTTTGGCAGAATATTATATTTAATAAATATGTCTCTATTGTTACTATTACTACTTTTGCATTGGAATGGAATGCATTTTTCTCCACATTATAGACCTAAAATTTCATCAGTGTTTATAGAAACCAGTGGTCATGCATAACCTCTACTCTTTTGAGATGTTAGCCAGCTTTAACACCATATTATCTAAAACTTGATACCACTGCCACCGTAAAAACTTCCCCTCAAGTGCAAAACACTGGGCTTCACAAAGAAACAATTCAGGTAGTTCAAGGTAACTGAGATGAAGCAGAGAGGGAATTTGTCCTCCATATTCAATACAACAGATGATAGGAAGAAGCAGCCTGAATTCTGTAAAGACCTTACCCTCTTTTAAGAACATCTATGCTCAGATACACATTTCAAGAAATATAATAAAGCATCATATATTAATCTCTATGCTTTAGTTTCTCCTTTATGTTTTCCTTTAAACAAAGAATGATCTTTAAAAGTTGAATGAATTAGAAACGGGAGAAACATATAAATGAAAAAATTAGGCTAAATTAATAATTATTATTATATTGTATGAACAATTACTGTGTGCTTAAAAACTCTGCATAGATTTCAGAGTAAAAGGTTTCACTTATTTAATGCACACAATGATACCATGCAGTTGATGATTTCTTCAATTTTTACTTAAGGAAACAGAGTTTAAGAGCTGAAAATTACTTGCCTAAGGTTATGCTGTTGATAAGTAAAGGAGCTGAAAATTTAAGTCAGACCTCTGCACTCTTTATCACTATGTTATTACTATCTGTGCCTCCTACAAAATGTCAGGAGTATAGTGTGGTTTGACTTCAAGCCCTCTCTTATTTTTAAGTGAGCATAAGTCTTCAAGAAAAGAACCCTGAAGCCCTAACCGGTTTGGCTTAGTGGATAGAGCATCAGCCTGTGGACTGAGGGGTCCCAGGTTCGATTCCAGTCAAGGGCATGTACCTTGGTTGCAGGCACATACCCAGTGGGAGGTGTGCAGGAGGCAGCTGATCGATGTTTCTCTCTCATCAATGTTTCTAACTCTCTATCCCTCTCACTTCCTCTCTGAAAAAAAAGAAAAAAAAGAAAGAAAGAAAAGAACCCTGAAACAGGCCGGATGATGTTAGACTAGTCCAGGTCTTGCAGTCATTCCTTTCCGGTTCAACTCCTAACTAGTATTTGATGAATGGATTTACTCCTCCTACTTATTCCCAAGTATTCTTTTGCTTATTCTTCAGTAAGAGTCTCATCACAAAGATACCGTGAGGAAGAGAGACCCCAGGTATGAGGTGGTGAGACAAAAGGAAAAGAATGATTGGTACTTCACCAAGAGAGACTTCAACCATGCTGTTTTATACAATTTTAAAACTAACAAACAAAGCATTTTGCTATTATTGGCAATGCCCCACAATGTGCACATCATAGGCTTATGTACAATGGTGCAGCCATTTCTTCCGAAGTTTAATATCTTGTTCTTTTAATAGGGCAAATCAAGCACACACCAGATTCTAGGCAACATTATTATTATTTTTTTTTAATGTAGCAGAAAGCAGGTCAATTTTGGCATCTGAAATAAAGGTTATTTTTTGATATATCAAAGGAATTCAAAATTTCCCCTCCCTACCCCAAAATGCCTTAGACTAGAGCATGAACTCCAAAAGGAGTGTTGAATCTATAGATAGTGTTTAAAAATATTTATCATGTATGGTTGTTAAATTAATTCACATTTATGTGTATTAATATTTAAAATATGCATGCTAGTATTAACCTATAAGGATTAGTTATATAAAGTTTTTAATAAGGGAAAGACATTAAGGAAATTGCCACTTGTGGTAACGTAAAAACAAACACTTATATGGCAATAATTTGTACTTTCAATTAACATCAAGTTATGTAATTTTAAAAAAAGTGTATTTTCTAAAAAATTGCCTATAGGTTAACATTTTTTGTCATTTCTATTGAATATTACTGATTTCATACCCAATGATATATCTTTTAGTTGTTTATATTCACCTAAACAGCTTCTGATATTGCCATGCAATATTTTTATCTTAATCTGGTGAACTTGCCTTAGCAGCATAACTCTACATTCTCCCATTCCTATAATCCCCTAAGGATCTTCATACCCTTAGGTAAAAAAGGTATCCTAGTCCTGCACCTTAGCATATAGCTATGTGCTCTACATCACAAAACCTATGGGAAGTGTAGTTTACCACATTAGCCATATGACCTCGGGAGTTCTAAGACCCCATGGCTCTTATAAAGCACAGACAGCTTTATTTGTACAACACGGTTGGCATTTCCCATGAGCTAAGTAAAAGCTCAAATGCTATCATAAATTCAAAAAGCCAAGACTTAAATAGGACATGGTTGGTGACCTCTTTCTATCTTACTCAGCTTCCAGCATCATTGTGAATTAAATGCTGAAAAAATATAGAGAATTTTTTTCCAAGAGTTCATATTCAGTAAACATTAGCAAAAACTAAGCTGTCGTCATTTTTCATTTACTAAATGTCATTTCAAGTTGAGAGTTATGTTTCCCCCCCAGAAAGCTTGTCAGAATGTCATGTGCATACTTGGTTTGATTTATAGGATTTTGGATCGCTATGTTCAGGAGCAAATTCCTGGTGCCAAAGTTGTGGTGGAGTCTATTGGTGCTCGCCGGCACGGAGATGCCTTTTCTCTGGAAGATTACAGCAAGTGCGACTTGACCGTCTATGCAATCGACCCTCAGACCAATAGAGCCATCGACAGAAAAGAGCTTTTTAAGTAAGTAATTTTATTGTCAGTAATAGTTTTCTGGTTACAATATCACCCATAGATAATCCTGATTTAAAGCTATGAGTATAAATACTTGAAGTTTAAAACCCACCAAACTGTTGTTGAAAGTGAAGTCTAAGCAAAAATATTCTAAGACACACTACCTAGGGTCCTCACACCTGGAAGTTTTGAGGTCCAGGCGTGGGATAGAGTGACCTCAGAGGGTCTTTTTTCCTTTTGGCATCAGAAGGCCCCTTATACTTATGAACAAGTAGCCGTTTATTGAGATCAGCTCACCTCAGCTCCCACTCTCGCTCCAAGGCCCCGGATGTTTAGGAAGCAAGTACAGAGTCTTTCTTAAAGAGGCAATTTGCCTTCAACATTATCAGTAGGTTTACATTTTAAGAACAAATCTTGCTTTCTTCAAGGTCTTACTGAACCAGCAAAAATTATTATCTGACTTTTCCCTTAACTTGAGATGGGGGGTTAATTACTTCCATCTAAGGCCATACCCTATGTTATATTTTATCCTGATGTGAATTTGAATATTTGAGTTATAAATCCTAAAAACAAAGGAAATATGGAATCTGAAACAAAATGCTACTACATATTCTCCCTTGGAAGTTATTACAGAACAGTTTAATGTTAGCTTCCTCTTTAATCTAGTGACACCTAGTGTCCAACAGATTCTTAAAATGTAGTTCTTACCTAAATTAAAACACATTTTTAGTTGAAAAATATATATTGATATATGATATATGATATATATATATATATACATATATATATATTCATTCACATATTTTAGGTCTGTGTGTTCATAAGTACAAATTTCAATATTCATAATTTCAGAATTTATTTTTCTTTATATACACTAACCATATACAGAAATATCTGCTTATACAAATTTGCATACATATTCATATGTGGGTAAATTTATTTAGTAAATATCTATCCATTTGTTTATTAAAACACATAAATTTAAAAATTAAGATGGATTAAATACTATTTCATTGTTTCTAAAATAGGAGCAATGAAACTTTGTTAATGAACAGATTTAAAATAAACTATATTCAGAACAGATTATATTAGTTTTAAAATAAAACTTACTAATTTTTTTAAAAGAGCACATACAGTTTTAGCTTGTGCACCTTTCTTATATATCCAGCCTGTTTAACACTAATCTCTCCAGAGGGTAAATGAGAGATGAAGATAGAGAAAGCCTGTCTATTCTACAAGCCATGTTTAAAATACAGTGTTTAACCATACTTATACTTTATAATAGAATCTGACTATCAAACTCTGATAAAGCTTCTTTCATCATCCTAAGCCCAGAAAAAATAACCTTAAATTTAGAATACTGAAAATTCAATTAGATGAAAAACTAATTATTAGAATCTAGTTAAAATAATTCTGTATTGTACAGATAAAACAGTGGTCTACCTGACTTGCTTTATTAAGCAAATCAACCTTATCCAAGTGGAATGTGTGTGGGCAGATGTGTTAACCATTGTCCATTCTACAAACCTGTTTTAGAGACCCAGATTGTGTACCTACTAGGGAAATAGGCAGCTGCCCTCTACGGTTTTGGTGTGAGTTTCTGTGAAGCACAGAGTACCTTCTCCTGCTCACCTTCCCTTTTATTTCTATATCAACATGTACATTACAACACCAGCAGCGTCATGGTAAAATGCAGGGTAGACTGCTGGTGAACACATGGTACTTTGAAAGCTGTGTCCCACTCAAGTAAATGGAGAAGTAATACATGTTGGTACGTGATCCATCAGTTGACTGAATCAGAAGACATGCAATTTGGTTTAGGAATTTAGCTCATCTTAGGAACAGAGCAGTGATCAGTTAATATTGGCAAGATCCTGGGATGAAATGTGTTTGCCTCACCCTTTTAAGCAGCAACTAAGTAAACTGGATGAGAATAAAGAGAATGGCACATTTCCTCATGTTGTTGAATTTGACAGATCTATTTACTTTCTAGGATGAGTAAGCAGAGGGGAAAATGGGATCAGTAAAAAATGCTGAAAAACAAAGAAAAGCAAATAATATACTGATCACTCGGAGACTATATATCTCTGGAAATATTCTCCTACTGGAACCATTGGAAATAATTTAACATTTTTTAGTGGAAAGCAAGATGGTAGGAGATTGTGAAATGGTGTATGTATTTTACATGCCCTGAACCCTTCCCCTCTTTCTGCTAAAAGAACTGCAGGAGAGGATGGAGAGAATCATCCCTCTCCAACAACAGGCCAAGTGGAGTATGCCATTCCTCCGCTCACACTGACTAGGTTTGGGTTAGCACACATTCCAGGGAGTACCAATTCAATTATTTATTCAGAGATTAATGTAGTTTAAGGAGATAGTAGAATTCTTAGTCCTGGAATCAGAAAAAGTATAAAACAAAAGCCTGAAGTTTCTTGGGGCCAATTTTTTCACTTCAGGGAGAAAATCTAAAATCCACTGAGAGTCTGGATTCAATGTTGCTGGAAAAGAGAAATCATCTGAAAAATAATTTGGCAGCGTAAAGTATATACATGCAAAGGTCATAGCGTATTAACAAAAAGATAAAAATCATAAAGAGATCAAAATCTATTTAGAGGTCAATTAAGATACAACCTGATAATTCCAGGTTCCCTTGATATAAAAATTACAGTAGTTATTACATAATTAAAAACTGAAAATACAACTGAGATTTTATGCTATTATAGGCAAAATCAATGAAAAGGCTCTCAAGTGTCCTTCAAAAGTATCTAAATGTGCTTTACAACCATTGAAACAGAAATAAAAATTACTGATTATAAAGGAATAAAATTAGATAAGTCTTACACATTCCACCTGCATGTAAAATATCAAAGACAAATCAAATTTATAAAATTTTCAGGAAAAATATTGATTCAAGAATAGTTTACCTAGGCAAGTTGTTTTGCATGTAGAAATCAAAAAGAAAAATATTGTAAATCAGATATGGGTTCAACAACAATCAACTCTTCTGGTAAAAAAATTAAAAATTTACCTAAATTGGTAAATAAACCAAAATAAACATCTTAAAAAATGAGCTGTTTTAGTGTAAAAAGACTGAGATCTTCCTTTAGGTGATTTGATATAAATGCAGGAATCCAAAAGAATTGTGATTTCTCAATGGGTTCTGCACAATAGGGGTACAATTTTCTTTGCAGTTAATGGTCTTACTCTCCTTCTGACCTTTCCATTTCTAATAAATAGAGTATTTCCTTTGAAATTACTCTAGATCTATACTTCATTTGGAATTTATTACTTTCTCTGATAAATGGTTGAAACAAAAAGTTTTAGCATTACATCCTATTCTAGTACTTGGAGCAATAGTTAAACCTTCATTACATTATTTTAGCATGTATAAAAATAACCTAGGTAAATTGCTATAGAGTATATTGTTTACCTACAAAAGCATATTTATAAAAAAAATCCTAGTTGCTTTTATTATAGTAAGGAAATAAGTAAAAATAGGTGTAGCTTAAAACTAAAATTGAATTATCTAATCCATTCGATTTATTAAATAGGGAAGACTAAGAAGCTACCCTGTGGAATTCATATGTGATGGCAGCCATCTCTCTATTTTTTTTTCTATATGGATCTTTATGAGCAATGTATTAACTAGATTTAAAACCAGCATAATCACTCAGAAAATTAGAATACAATGTGTCAAAAAATATAAAATGTACAAGTTTGACATCTTTGATTACCATTTAATGGTGAAATGTGAACCCATTTTCATTTATTTTTTCAGATTTCTTTGTATTTTTTCACATTTTAAACCAAAGTATGCTATTTTGATATTAAGAAATATATTTCTAAATTAATATTTTTGCTTTGGATATTCTATATAAAATCACAATTATATAAAAATATTTATTAATACTTTAAAAAAAAAAAAGGTTAGGTTTGAGTATACCAAAATGTTAGTTGTGGTTGTCTTTGCATTGTAAGCCTATGAACAATGTTGCTTTTTGAAATATTTTGTGTTTACCAATGTTCTATAGTAAGATATTTGACCTTTATTAATCAAATTAAGAAGAAAAATGCCTAAGACATGTTGTAGTTTTATGGCATTAAGGATACAAATGTTTCATTAATATTATAGGATTTATAAGAGACTTTTTAAAAATGTTCCCCAGGAATTTGGGGGGAGCAAAAGACACATAAAACAGCCTATTTATTATAATACTAGAGGCCCGATGCACGAAATTCATGCAAGAGTAGGCCTTCCTTCCCCCGGCTGCCGGCACTGGCTTACCTCTGGCACCCAGGACCCAGGCTTCCCTTGCAGCCCCAGCTTCGTACGGAAGGTCATCCGGTCTAATTAGCACATTATGCTTTTATTATTATAGATAAAATATGTAACAAAATTGTTCAAGCTAATAAAATTAAGTAGCAATTATTCCTTGAGTCCTCTCCCAATACAATGCCCATAGTTGGAATTGCATTACTTAGAGGACGTGTTTGCCAGAACTAGTGGATTAAATTGACCACCAATTCTCGTCATTCTGATTACACTGATTACTACCTGTATTACTTATTGTCTTTTCTTTCTAAACAGAAAATACCTTTTAATTTGTTTACCTTTAGCCTTTGTTTTAGTTTGATATTTGAGTGTTGATATTTAAGATGGTATGTGGAATACAAGTATATTTTAGTCTGAAGGCTTGAATTGGTGGTCTGATTTGTTTCAATAACTGTTTAGCTTTGTGGTCTGCAGTAAATCAATAATGTGATGTTCAATTTTACAGGATTATTCTTAGGACCCAAGGAAATAAAATGCTGGAATGTAATTTTAAGCTCTGCTATAAAATTTAGAATATTATGTTTTACTTGAGACCTGATGCATGAAATTCGTGCAAGAGTAGGCTTTCCTTCCCCCAGCTGCTGACACCGGCTTCCCTCTGGCACCCAGGACCCGGGCTTCCCTCACAGCCCCGGCTTCATCCAGAAGGACGTCTGGTCTAATTAGCATATTATGCTTTTATTATTATAGATTTCACCAGAGTAACATAATAATGTTAATAATCTCAACATAGTGATATTAAGTTCAGTGATATTGATAATGACTTTTCCCAAGCCTGTAAGCATATTAAGGGTCATTGTTATTAATGTTGTTGTGTGCATAGATATGTAATTACTCTTTTTTATATCTCTTGCTTTTTATGTGTGTTTTTTAATTCATAAGACTCTGAGTGTATGTTTCATTTAAAAATATTAGATTTGCAAAAGATTTTATTTTAATATTATTTATTTTACTCTTTATTTAACAATAAAGATTCTTGGATGGCAAACTGCTCGATATCAATAAAGACTTTCAACCGCATTATGGGGAAGGAGGACGCATTCTGGAGATCCGGACTCCAGAGGCAGTGACCAGCATCAAGAAGCGAGGAGAGAGTCTAGGCTACACAGAAGGGGCCTTGCTGGCTCTGGCCTTCATCATTATCCTCTGCTGTATTCCTGCCGTCCTGGTGGTTTTGGTCAGCTACAGACAGTGAGTATTCATGGATGCTCAGTGTTTGGTGAGAATATTGGGAAATGGGTTAAGAAGAGAGATAGCCCTGTGGGTGCCACAAAATAAAACTAAGTAAAAAAGAATAATACATCATATAAATTGCTGTTATAACAAACACTAAGAAATAATGGTAGAACTGCTATTCATCATTTAAAATACCTACAGGGAAAGTTCTTACATATTATTTTACCATTGTCTTTGTTCTCTAACACTGAGAATTTTCTTTTGAGTTAAATATGAAAAGATCATTCCAATCTGAAAATTAAAAAGTATGCTCTACATCAAGCTGCTATAGGACTATTTTCAATCACAAAAGTAATGTGAAAAGCAGATATAACACTTAGGTTGATATATTGGAGTTCCATGCATCCTTAACAAATCAATTGTTATGCCATATTTAAAGCCAATGAAAACACTTAATACTGGATAAATTGTTTTAAATTATTAAGCTATCAACCAAATGTTAATATTCATGTTAAATAGAGTTTACATTGTAGCTACCATATTTTATTCAACTATTTCCAAAAGAACTTTGTTATATCTTACTAGCAATATTATCATTGAGAAAATTTTAATTTTTTTAAAATATATTTTATTGATTTTTTACAGAGAGGAAGAGGGAGGGATAGAGAGTTAGAAACATCGATGAGGGAGAAACATCGATCAGCTGCCTCCTGCACACCCCCTATTGGGGATGTGCCCACAACCAAGGTACATGCCCTTGACCGGAATTGAACCTGGGACCCCTGAGTCTCCAGGCCTATGCTCTATCCACTGAGCCAAACGGGTTAGGGCGAGAAAGTTTTATTTGACACACAGTGCAATGATCAAAAACTAGATATTAAACTCAGTGTCTGAAATTTTTTAAAAAATTAATATGCCTAATATTTGAACACTTGTAGATGCATTGTTTAATTATTTTTAGTTCAGTAATCAACTCAAAACTATGAATTAATTTTAGCTACTGCTATTTTATAGATTAGCATAACAAAACAAAATGAGTTTGCACTGCTCATGTTTCAAAGTAAAATTCTATTTTTAAAAGTCTAACTTTTGTGCCTTCATATTCTGCTTATAAATAAGATTGGAATGAATGGGTTTTTTAATATCAAAATGTGTCTTTTAAATTCTCAATGCATGGAAAACGAAGAAGCAAATATTTAAAAAGTGCCATGAATTCATTGCCCAGGAGTAGCAACTTTCAGGTTCTAAGTGAGGCCAAGAGTATAATCAGAGCTTGCTGACTAATTCTATTCCTTTATTTTTTAATTAAATTTATTGGGGTGACATCAGTTAATAAGATGATATAAGTTTCACGTGTATATTTCTATGATAGATGATCTGTATAATGTATTAAGTGCCCAGTCCTCAAAGTCAATCATCTTCTAACACTTATGTTTAGACTCCTTTACCCTTTATTACTCCCAATCCCCTCCCTCTGCTGCTGCATCTATGAGCTTCCATCTTACACCACATGAGTGAAATCATATGGTTCTTAGCTTTTTATGACTTACTTATTTCACTTAGCATAATATTCTCAAACTCCATCCATGTTGTCACAAATGGCATCATTTCAACTTTTTCATGGATGAGTAGTATTCCATTGCAAATATGTACCACATCTTCTTGATTCAATCATTTATCAAAGGTTTCCATGTCTAGGCCACTGTGGATAACACTGCAGTGAATATAGGGGTGCATATATCTCCGTGAATAAATATTTTCAAATTTTTCTGATACAAACCAGAAGAGGGTTTGCTGGGTCATATGGTACCTCTATTCTTAATTTTTTTAGGAACCTCTATGGTGGTTGTACCAGTTTACATTCCCACCAGGGTTCCTTTTTCTCCACACCCTCTCCAACACTTATTATTGTCTTATTGAATAGCCATTCTAAGAGGTGTGAGATGGTATCTCATTGTAGTTTCGATTTGCATTTCCTTAATAGTGTAGTTGACCATCTTTTTTATGTATCTGTTGGCTATTTGTATATATTTTTGGGAGAAGTGTCTGTTCAAGTCCTCCGCCCATTTCTTAATTAGATTTAATGTTTGTTTGCTGTTGAGTTGTATGAGTTCTTTTATATATTCTGGATATCAGCTCCTTTTTGGAGTTGTTGCTTGCAAATATAATCTCCCATTCAGTTGGTTGCCTTTTTGTTTTCTTGGAAGTTTCTTTTGCTTTGCAGAAGCTTTTTAGTTTGATATAATCCCATTCATTTACTTTTGCTTTTACTTCCCTTGCCTTTGGGGTCAAATTCATAAAGTCTTTCTAAGATCAAGATTTATAAGTTTAGCACCCCATGTTTCCTTCTAATAACTTATTCAGATCTTATATAAAGTTCTTTGATACATTTTGGATTAACCTTTGTACATGGGGACAAACTGTAGACCAGCTTCATTTTTTTGCATGTGGCTTTCCAATATTCCCAGCACCATTTACTGAAGAGGCTTTCTTTTTTCCATTGTATTTTTGGCTTCTTTGTCAAAAATTATTTGCCCAAATACATAGGTGCTTTATTTCTGGCTTATTATGGATAAAATACTTGTTTTGTTCATTGATTTTGCGTCTGAGTTCATTAAACTGCCCATCTGTGTGGGGTTGGTATTTTTTGTTTGCTTTTTGTATCGTGTTTAGTTTTTTTCAGAACTCAATATTGTTATCTGTCATTTGAAGCACATATTTCCATGTCTTTCTTTAAATTTATTTTCTGGAGATTTTTCATGTTCTTAATGAGTTGCCTCATTACTTTGGTTATGCATGGTATTTGATGGGTTCCTTCTCTATCTAGACACCTATGTATGAGTGGCATTTCTCTAGTAGACTGATAAGAAGTCTTTCTATTGTTTTTCAGTAGATGATGTTGAACCACATGTTTTTGCACTTCTCTGCCTGTTCTGATCTCTGTCAAATGGTGGAAAATGACATGTGTTCCCTGGGAAGATGGGCGCTCTCCTGAGATAGTCACCCAGGTCTTAGGGAACCAGCCTCACAGGGGAATGCAATGGGCTACGAGGGTCCAAATCTGTAAAATCCCAGTGCTGTCCCTTGCAGCCATTGTGTGTGGGTATGGACCGGGTGAGATGGGGGAACCCAGCACCTCCTTTGTTGCTTTTCCTTCCTAGCGGTGGCAATGAACAGACATCTGTGTCATCCCCTCTGTGCCTCCACCAGATCCTGGAATTAGCTCTAGGTTGTGCCCTTCGCTCAGGGAAAAGGCGTTGCTGTGGTACCAGTTCTTGTGTTTGGCAGATAATGTGCTCTGCAACCTGACACAGAGGGTGAAGGGAGCAAAGCTCTGGGAGGTTCATGGGAGGTGGCCAGGCTCCATAGCTTTTTCTGTCTGGAATGCCACTTTCAGACAACTGTGGCCACACGTTTGTGCTTCCTCTCTGCCTGGGTCACTGGGCTCAGCTGCTGCTAGTACTGCCCACTCCTGCAGGAATGCTCACTAAATCTCTTTGCTCTTCCCAGCTGAAGGGGAGGGCCAACAACAACCTGATTCCTCCCCTCTCCAGGCAGAGCCCGCAGTGAGCTCCATGCTGCAGGGCTGCATCCATGGCTCCTTGAGCCCCTCTCCCTTGCTGCCTCTCCAGTTGACTCCCACTTGCCCACCTTTATGTTTCAATATGCAGTCTCTCAAGTTTTTGTGTGCTGAGCAGGGAATTCTTTGTTGAAACTTAAAGGGGAGAGACGAAGGGGATCTCTCACACCATTATTCCTCTGACTTCACTCCTCAACTGTCTCTATTCCTTTAGCAGTCTTCAAGCCCAGTACTAGTAAACCAAGGAGCTGATTATAAAGATCAGATCATTTTTAATATTTCCCTATCAAAGTTGAAATTCGCAAACCCATATTTTAATACAATTTTTCTTATTCAATTTAGTTCATTTCTTTGTTTTGTGTAATAAATATTTTAACAGTTTATATGACTATGACAGTAATATTAAAGTGCTCACCATTTTCACTTTCTGAATTGAAAGTTTCTGTACTATGTCATTAAATCTGTGTCAGAGTCTGGCCAGTAAATTATTCATAATTTAGAATAAATCAAATATTAGAATATTATGAATGCATTTTTAATGTAACTTTCTCTCTTTTTCTTCTTACTCATTGCTTTCCCAAACAGGTTCAAAGTGTAAGTATGATGACTAATATATTGTTCATAATTTTATGTAATATGAAAAGAGAAACCCCAGAGAATACTTTTAAAGTAGTCAACCTACCCCAAACCATATTATATTTGTCTGCTTTGTATTTGTAGTAGGTATATGATTTTTAGTTCAAATTTCCTTGTGGTTTGTATACATAGAATTGAGCTGATTTTACACAATTAGATGTATCTGGAGGAAAGGTGAAAAAGAAAGTTTGCTCTGATAGCTTCTACCCTTGATATCTTGGTTTTGAGGAAGGAATTAGGAGTCAGTGTGCAGGAAGGTAAAAAAAAGAACAACTTTGCTCTAATGCAAGAATGACAGGCTTTCCTAGGTAGCTAAGGAATAAGAGCCAACCAAATCTCCCTCCTACACAGCCTCTGTAAATGAATGTCAAAAATATTTCAAATAATTTTAAATAAAATTATTCTTACTTAAATAGATGAAAGATAAAACAAAATTATATATCTTCTATCTGCATTATGAAAGAGATCCATTAAACAACTACCAGTTGTCAATCACATTCTTATGTTTTGCTCTCTCCCTTTAATATTATCATTTAACTTTACAGATATTCCAAATGAATTCTACCTGTTATCGAGGGGTAAATATTTTCAAGAACTCTGAGGGAGTATTTGTGAATATCTTGTAATATTTGAAATTTAAAATTTGTACAAGTTCAAATACTTGTACAAAAGTTTTGTTTTGTTTTACTGGGTAGTTTCTCTGATAACTGTACATGATTATTAAAAGGTAGCCTATTGCTAAGCATATGATTTCTAAAATAGTTTTACAAAAACATGCTTACTTTACTAAAGACGCCAAGCCGAGTGCACCAAGACAGCTCGACTCCAAGCTGCTGCTGCTGCGATGCCCCCTCCCAAGCCAGCAGCTCCTGCCCCTGCCCCAGTGGCCGCACCTCCAGCACCGCCACCTCCGGGTGCACATCTCTATGAAGAAGTTGGGGACAGCACAATGTAAGTAGAACTTTCAGGGCCTTTTAGAAGTAAATGCGTTCTGACTGATGCTGTGTGGTGAGTATTTAGTTTCAATTTGATGTGAAAAATGCAATTTGCCGTCTACTTTCTTAGATTTTTTAAAACAAAAATAACCAAAGAATATTTTTAAAAACTGAGACAGAGAAAATTAGTATTCAATATGAGGAGGCATTTGCAGATGAAAAGCTTAAACATTATATTTAGTCTCAGATTCTGAAAGAAGTGTTTGTCATAGGAAATGAGAATACAGCACTATCATAATATAGTGTTTCCTGATTTGGTATCAAAAGCCAACTCCTGCTTGGTGACATAAAACAATTCTATTGTCTAAAGTCATAGGCTTTTCTAACATACTATTTTACAATGTGATAGAATAGTTGAAATCTGAATTAAAGTAAGTAATTAAATATTAAATACCCAAATCACTTTTAGAAGATTTTATCATATTCTTCTCAAAAGAGACTGTGATAGGTTAATATTTCCTCTACACTATTTGAAAATGCTAAGCAATATTAAATCATTATCTTTGAAAGAGACTTTTACATTCTTTTTAAAAGACTACACAGGTCTTCCTATAAGGTTGCACACTCAAAACCTGATCCCATTGGAGATTTTTAATTTGACTATATTTTTAAAATTCAAGGGTAACTATTTCTGGACACAAAGTGCAAAATAACCAAGGATATTATAAAATGTTGAGTATGATAAAATTAAATCCAGAAAACCTTTTATTAACTGGAATTGGTTCAAGTTGAGGTTCTTAAACACATTCTACTGTTACGTTTTTAGCATTTACTAGTAGGAATAAAGCAAGCTTCAAATATTGTAAAATTTACCTTTTAATGGGAAAACCACTTTTAAACATTTACATCAATATTATTTGCCATATTAATACAATTACACAAGGTTATATTAAGAATAGTTTTTAAAATGTTAACTGTATTAATGTATGTATTTAATGCTAAAATTAAATTTAAAACATTTTAATGCTTGTCATTCTATTTCTAAAATAATAATAGAGGACTTATGCCTTAAATATAATTTTTTAATCATTTTTTTCATAAGTTGAAAATAATGGTCTCATTGGTGAATGTAGGAATTGAGCCAATATGATTTGATTAACCATCTTTCTCTGGCAAAAATGTTTAGAAACTAAAAAAAGATTTAGGTATAAATTTAAGTGTGTTTTATATGAAATTAGTAAGTGATATATATCCATTTTTATTTAATGAAAGCAGGTATACAATAACATCATCTGAAATCAATATAGTTTAATGGTAATAATTTTCAAATAGCAACACGTAAGGGCTGTTTTTATTTGAAAAATTATTGACATAGAGGATTTTACTATTCTTATATTTATTGAAGTATTTTAAGTTCTACAATTTAATTATCTTTAACCAATTTTAAAATTATCTATTCTAAACTTTGTACAGGGATTCTAATCATGTTACTAGAAAATGAATTATAGACAAATGTTTTTAAAACTATCAAAGGTCATTTCCTAGAAAAACTTCATGAAGTAATAACTTCATGTAGATTCAATAATTACTCTGTAATAGTCATTAAGAGTACAGTGTTTATATACTTACTTTCTTCCAAAAAATATTGTGTCTTATATTTTTTAGGTAGAACATAGATGCAATTCTTAGAATCTCATTTAAATTTTCTGTTTTAGGAGTGAAATCATTCATGTTTAATAGAAGTGAATTTTACCTATGTTTACAAGAGAGCTAGATATAATTTTATGTGATAAGACAACCAAGTAAATGCCATACGATTTTAATCTAAAACATTACATATTATTCTAATGAATAAATACAAAGAAAATAGAAAAACATGCATTTTCTTTTTTTGGATATACTTATTAAGTGCTTAAGTCTAGTTCCTGTTAGTATTTTCGTAATCATTTCCAATGAACTATAGTTAAAACTTCTTTTTTTCTGTCACATGTTTTCTCTTTCTTACCTGTGGATACATAGGCATAAGTAAGTAAATAATATTATTCTAATTCAAAGGCATTAAAAAAGGATTCAATCAAAGCAATCAAGTACTGTTTTACTCTATTAATAGTAATCTTCATCTTTTACTGTGGAGCCATTTTCTTTAAATAGAAGTCATATCTTCCACACCTCATTCACTTTCGATATCTTGAAATCGCATGAGTTATCAAAGTAGTTTTTCCACTGATAGTACCTGTGTCTACTAAGAGGAGTTTCAAAGTTCTCCTTGCTTTTAATTTGTTATATATGTATTTTATCTTTCAATCAAGTGATATCATTATAAAGATACAGTGGGGCCTTGACTTACAAGTTTAATTCATTCCGTGATGGAGCTCATTAAGGAGCTCGTTAACTCAAATTACTCTGTCAACTCAAAGCAAAAAATCAACCGAGAGAGACGGCTCGTATCTCGGAAAAACTCGTTAGTCGGGACACTCGTAAGTCAAGGCCCCACTGTAATTGTTTCCAAGAAAAATTAAATCAAGAACAGATCTACACAAAAACATCTGCTATATAATGTCAAACCCATTTTTTAAAAAGGACTTTTTAAAATTGTTTCCTGTCTAATTTGTTTAATCTATGTTGTCTGCACTTTCTAAATTATTCAGGTGGTCCTGGTACCCTAAGTCCACCTGTGAGAATCCTTCCTTGCAGTTTGTATCTCTATAAAGTGTCACAATAACAACTTTGGCTTTATATATCATTGTATTGATTCACCCGTCATCTTAATTTTTCAGTGTGGCTATTTTATTTTATTCAAAGTATTTCCCTTTTAACTTCTTCTATGTGGGGAAATAGTAAGCAATCACAAAAATAAACCTGTCACTCTGAACTTTTGAGCAAAGGGTCCCAATGTTTTCATCTGAGTGCCCTTTGACTTACTCAATTTCATTTATGATGAACAGCCACTATGACTCAGTTCCATATATGAGAAAATCTCCCAGTGATATCAGAACCATATTTTATTAACATAATTTTTTTTCAGTAAAACGAGTCTTGACTAAAATTTGACCCAGGTCATGTTCAAAAGAAATATCAACGGTCCCTCTCTTATCTCTAAAATATATGTTTTTAAACTGATTAAGCAAAACTTAAGTAGAAGAAAATAATCCCTGTCAAGATTCTGATGTAAATTCAATTTCTCAATTGTGATTTTGAAATCTGCTGCAAGAGAAATTCTCTCATTTGTGCTTGGGGATTTTAACTCTCTTAATCGGGAGAATAGGGAAAACATTTCTGTATTCTCTTGCAGGGATTTTTCTCAGTAAAGGAAGTACTCAGCTCCAGGACAGAATCACTGAGATGAGAGATAATGGACAGTTATGAATCAGATACAGCCAAGGGTCCTTTCCCCAAAGCAGTTGGCTCTCAGCATCCTCAACCAGGGCAAAGGGTATGCAACCATCAACCAAAATGCTAGTCTGCAATTTTGGGGAATTATGATTTATACATGAGAGAACTGTTATGTGTGGTCATGGATACTTGGCTGTATCAAAATAATTGGGGAAAAAAATCAGTGTACAGATTGACACATTTGGGGAAAAAATGAATATTTCTTATGCTACTCACAGCTCTCAAGCTTTTCTGTCCTGTCTTTTTGAGAACAGGGACATGAAAGCAATGTTTTGCTTCAATAGAGTAGTGTTATCTGGCATTTTATAGTTTGAAGTAGTAATGAGAACCATAAAAACATCTTTCTCATGAAAGCTATGGCACAACCTGTTTCCTTACATTTCATTATCTTCTTTTCTTTCAAGTCTTTACCTTCTCTACCATTTCCAACAAAGCAGGGGAAATAAGTCAGTCTCAGAAGACCAGAAACATCAGCACGTGGCGATGCCCTTTCCTTCCAACACTGTTGAGGCTCACGAGCAGGCTTATGTAGCAGGATCACTAAAGAACAGCCAGCCCACGTCTGCAAGAAAACTCACATTGATATCTGATGAGGATGCCTTAAATACCCACAGTACCCTTTATAAGGAAAATGTAGATCAAAGATCAACAAATTCGGACTTTTCACTAAGAACAGATTCTATAGGCTCTATTTTACCAAGAACTCAAGCCAAGAATGAGTCTCTGAGGGGCCCACGAAAAAAGATTCAAAGGCTATGGAATCAGACGTTCCGTTTACCTAAGAGACCAAAGTGGGAACTTCCCAATAGACCGGAAAGCATAGCTCTGGATCAGTGGCCAAGCAACAGGCAGAAAGCGGGAAATGAAAGCACTGAAACGTATCCACACACAAGAGGTAGCAGTAATCCCTTGCTTATAGCTGAAGATACAAGTGTAACAGAAAAAGAGGCAAGGCGAGGTGGATCACTGATCATGCAAGGAACAGAACAGTTGAAATCTCTACCTTCAGACTCTTCATTTTCTTCTCCTTGGTCTCATTCCACATTCTCTACTCTACCAACTGTCTCCAGAACTGTGGAACTTAGATCAGAACCTAATGTCATCATTTCTCCTGCTGACTGTTCCTTGGAACTTTTAAATGCTCCGCTCTTTAGGAGAGAGACACCCAGCTGTATGTTGACTATTGAAACCAAGAGGAACATTTTCGAAAATCCTCCCCATCCACCAAACATCTCTCCTCCTCCCTTTCCTCCACCCCTTCCACCCCTCCCTCCTTCTCTTATTCTTACTCCTTTTGCTCTTTCCTGCCCTTCTTCTCCTCCTTCTAGTCCTTCTCCTATTCCTCCACTTCTTCCACTTTCTGTTCCCCCTTCTCCTTTCTCTACTTCTTCTCCTCCTCTATCTCTTCTCCCTTCACATCCTTCTCTTCCTCCACCACCTCCCCCTTTTCCTTCTCCACTCCCTCCTTCAACTTCAGGTTTGTCCACTAAGTGTGTGTCTATACCAGCTGTTAAACGCACTGTCAATGTGACACCAGCCAAGGAAATACAGTCCTCTGGGGGACAGCTATCAACATCAACAACAGTGTGCAATGCAGATCCTCAAAGAGAACCAAAAGGAATCCTCAAACATGTTAAAAACTTAGCAGAACTTGAAAAGTCAGTAGCTAATATGTACAGTCATATAGAAAAAAACTATCCCCCAGCACACATTCCAAAACCTGAAATTAATTACCCTTCAGAGATGACAAAAATGGAAATAACATCTGGACAAAACCAGGAGAATTTGCACAATATTGTTGAGGAATTTGAAAAACAATCTCACACTCAATCTACTTCACTGTAATGTTGCTTTTCCTGTTTTAACTGAACAACTCTTTTGAACATAGTCTTCGAGTGGAGGCAAATTTGAACATTAAAGAAGATTCCATTCTTTTCCCTAAACGCAATGCAATACTGTTTTTTCCTCACTTTTAATTTAAAATATTATTAACCTCATCATTACTAACTCATAGATTTACCTTAATTTTCTTAACTACGAAGTAGCATTATTTGTCTACATTTATTTAAAAAGTAAGTAATTTCAATCTATTTTTTTAATGGGACTATATGGGCATGAAAGTTAGATATCCAATTTAAAACAATGACTTGTTTATCATGTTAATGCAGTAACTTTTACTTTTTACCATAGTTTTATATGAGTGTTCCAAGAAAAAAGCAGATTGTTACAAAGAAGCTAAAAAATATCATAGGTTCTGTAATTTTCTTGAAACTTTTGCATTTGGTAAGAAGAAATACTACCAAATTAAATGTTATTTATCTTAAAACATAGGAGATGACAGACATTACGGTATTCCAAAATAAAACCCAGGTGCTATAAGATGTAGTCATCTATTTTCTTATGAGAACATCCTTTACTCTGGCTCGCTTTTATCTTACTAGTATGCTTATACATTTGATAAACCTTTTACTTTTTTTCAATTGCTGTCTTAGCTATTTATTTCTCATTGTGCTTTCTTTTTCCTTCTTTATAATGAAAATAAATCTTGAGTTCTTGACTTTTGTAAGACATTTCATTGTTTCTACAGATGTTTAAAGTGCTCTTTAGTTTCGCTTGTCCACATTATTACATCATCTCTTTAATTATAATTTTATTATGAGGCTCCTTCAAAGAAAATATTTATCTCCTATTTAATAAAGAAATTTGAATCAGATTCATCAAAAGAAGGTTAAGTAAATGTCTACAAATGCGTATTTAGAATGATTTTTGTATTTCACTGGTTTAAATTATATTTTTATTAATTTATCAATAATATAAAATCTGCTTATCTATTAAAATTTTAGAAGAGGGCATTATGGCGTTATTCCTAACTACTATTGAGTCTATAGTATATAAAAAGTTTAAATAGAAATCAAGAGGAAATATATCTGGTGGACTATTATCAGTTTTATATAGACCTTAACTCTGTTTTAGGCGAAGAAGACAAAAATTTGTACTCTAGACAAAAATTTCTCTAGTGTGGTTGTTTATGTTACAGGTCAATTTGTTAAACTCTTAAAGGCATCAGCTAAGCTAAGAACTACCTTCCTATCTTCTTAACGGAAGCTACACTTAACTATCAAATAATTACTTTGTTTTTCCTATTGAATACATGGATTAATTTTGTTTACTGGAAATCCCCACTTTGAATACAAGTATAATCATTTGTTTTACTCTGTAATTTTTATATTTTAGGAAGTATAAGTTTGCACAGATGAAAACACAATTCCAACATTTAAGCAAAAGTCTTGCTTGATAATTAACATTATCAAGTAAGTATATTTAGGTTCAGGGACCAACAATGCATCATTTCAAAGGTTTTGTTCAGTGCTTATATTATGTGATATTTCTTCAAGAGTTTAGTCTGACCTCCCTAATGAATAATACCAGATCAAAAAGAATTTGTAAGTTTAATTATTTTTATTAGTTCCTCTGCTTCAGATTCCTTTCATCCAAATCAAGAGTAATTTCTTTCTTGGGGTTCTTGCATATGATTTTTTTCTCTCTTTCACTGAAAAACTTCAGTTGGAGTTTTTGTTGGCAGCTGGTCTTATGCATGAGAGCTTGTACTTTTTGGCGGAGTCTGACAAGGT